GATTTCAAGGCACGACCTTAACCTTTCACCCCGGCCCCACCCCCGCAACCCCCGCGGCCCCCGCTCAAATCCGTCGGGACCTAACCTACTTTAGCGTGCGCTAGGTTAGGTAGCACCGTAGCTACGCTGATGCATTAGCCATTTTTATTTCCAGCGCCCTGTTGCCGCAGCTGGACGCAAATCGTCATGTTACACTGTGTTTACATTGAATCCGCGAATTTTACGTATAATGTAGGCGTTTCGCGGAAAAAAGACTTGGGTCCGCGGATTTTTGTCGAGTCAGGTCAAAAAGTTGCATTTTGAAATTTCAGCTAAAACAGCACTTATTTTAAGGGGTAAGGAGGTCAAGGAAGTCAACCCTATTTCCGAGTTGGTTAACACTGGAAAAAAAAAACACATTGAATCTAGAGTCCAGACTCTTAAAAACATCGACAAGAAAAAGTACTCTTGATTCAATCAGAATATAGCGTAAATCAAGAACCCAGCCTCTTAATTTAAGCGGATTTCGTTTTGATTCAAGCAAACATCCGATTGAATCAAGAGTATTTTTCTTATCAATGTTTTCAAGAGTCGGGAGAGTAGAATCAAATAAGTTTTGCTCTACCATGTCTGTCGACTTTTTAGCCCTTCAAAATGGAAAAATCTGACCTTTTTTTTTTTTTGAATTTGTTCAAAATTTTACGCTTAATCAGATCCCAACATCGTTTTAGGCAGTTTTTGCCAATTAATATCAGAATTTTGGCCCTAAACAGCTGAAATGTCCTGTACCGTAGCCTGTCTGTGACTCAAGTGCGCAACTTTAACGCTACATAACCATCATCTTGCATCTAAATACTTCCACTTCTGCTGTAAATTCACACTCAACTTGTACCTAACTTATTATTTTCAGTTATATTCATCCAAATAAGTGAAAATATTGACCGTCTTTGCGTCAAGCAGCCTTGTCTGCGGAATTCGCGTCCTGTACCGTAGCCCCCTTTTTTCAGCATCGTTTCGTCCGTTAGAGTGCAGAACTTATGAACTTTGTTTACTCTTTTTGCGTTATCGTGACTATCACACGCTGATGTCGAGCAGAGGAAAAAAAACCGCAGTGAAACAGTAAATTTTGACCGTTTTTTATGAGTTTCTAGGTTTAACGACCATCTAG